TTCCTTACACCATGGCCAAGTTCGTGGTCTACGAGAAGGTCGCTGAGGCCGTTTGGCGCAGACTCGACAAGAAGACCGCCTCCGACGGTATGCAGACCGCTGTCAACCTTGGCTCCGGTCTGATGGCCGGTTTCGCTGCTGCCATCATCTCCCAACCCGCCGACACCATGCTTTCCAAGATCAACAAGACTAAGGGTCTTCCCGGCCAGAGCACTACCAGCCGTCTCGTCCAGATCGCCAAGGAGCTTGGTCTCCGTGGTTCTTTTGGTGGTATCGGCGCCAGGCTGTTCATGGTTGGTACCTTGACCGCTGGACAATTCGCCATCTACGGTGACAGTAAGTTTTCTTGTCATATTTAACAAGTCTTCACAAGCTAATTCCGCAACAGTCAAGAAGGCTTTGGGCGCCGTTGGCGGTGTCGACATTGCCGCTTAAATGCGATTTGCGACGATATTAATGGCCAGGGAGTGAAGTTGGAGACAAGAGCTGCCACAAGAGTCATTCTGGAGATGTACAGAAATGGTCCCAGCAAGCACAAGACACGACAACGGGGCGGAACTTGTGAGAAAGCGTATGTGATCGGATCGCTTTCGCAAAATAAATGTTATAGATTTCCAGTTACCCTTTTAAACTGCTTTTGGTTCTCTGGGCTCAAAGGAGAGACGACTGGCGGTGGCATTTCTGAGCAAAGGGAATGGCGCCCTGTAATATATTCCATCCTACCCAGTACTCTGGCCGAATTACCTTGCAACGTGCCTGTGATCTTAAGGAGCTACAGCATGGATCGAACTTGTCGTGCGGCCAGACTAGGTCGGACCATGTTCCTTGAGCATCGAGTTGATCTGCCCGAAAGCGGTTCACGGTATGTCCAATTCCCTCTTTCTTCTTTCTTCATACCGAACACATTGCACATTGCGTTGAAGCAACAATGTCGACTCGCCGACTGTAAACCCCATGTCTCCTTAACTTTAAAATGAAATAGCTTGTGAAGGCATGTTGATTATGAGAAGAGACCTTACGATGCTCTTTACCATCACCTCCGAGTTAGAACGCTTTACAAGGTATAGTAGGTTTAATCTCACCACTATCTCAGCTCCTGAGTCTGCGCCACTGTCGTCCCATTCCAAGTCCCATCAGCACCGAGCGCAACAAATATAAGCGCCCCCCTCTCATTGACGAAGTACACGCCCGGCGCACTCTTCGGGTCCGGCAGCGTCGACAGCACTATCCCGCTATGATCATCCCACTCAATATCCTCTAAAATAATCGTCGGCGTTACCAGCGCTCCACCAGCACCAGCAGTCACATTCGTCACAGTCAAATGCCCCTGTCCATTAACAATAAACACAAACTTCCCCTCCTTTCGCTCTACCACAGTCGCCGCCCCCTCGCTATCAAATGTACTCGCCGCCGTGAGCGCAGTAGGTCCCACCCCGGTCGTACCATCGAAGTACGTCACTGTCAACGCACCCGTATGGTCCAGAGCATACACATCCGTCACCGCAGAATCCGAGAACTGGTTCCCTAACCCAATGGCGGTCTCGCTGCCAAACACCGCCCCGGACAGCGCCTGGGTAGTCCAATTCCCCGTCCGCGGCGAGAAGGTCGACACGACAAGCAGCTCGTCACCCGTGATGGAGAACACGTCGGCCGCGACTTGTCCTGCCCTGCGCGCAGTGGCGATGGAGTCGCTTTCCGCCTCGTAGCGATACGTCCCGATAGGGACGGGCGTGGTCCAGGTCCCGTTCGACATAAGGGAGGTGACGGCTAGCACATCGTCGAAGTGCCGGTTGGCGGCGAAGATGTCGAGGAGGATCCCGTCGGGGCTAGCGTGGCGGGGGGCGACGGCGAGGGGCTGGCAGGAGGAGTAGCCTATGCCAGTGGTGATGGAGGTGGAGTTGGTCCAGGGACTGGGTTGTGGAAAGGTCACGTGGAGAGTGTCGTCTTCGTGCGCGAAGTAGATCTCGTTGGAGGGGCCGAGTGCAAAACCGCAGGGGGACTCTTCTTCTTCGTTGTCGAGGCCGTAGCCTCGGTAGGTGGTGGTGTAGTTCAGGGTGCCGGCGGAGTTGAGGGCCCAGGCTGAGAGGTGCTCGTCTCTGGCGTGGACGACTTGGAAGAAGGATGGGGTTGCGGAAGGTGAGGTGGTTGTTGTCGTTGTCGTGGTAGGAACTCTCGTGGTAGTTGTGGAGGCTTTCGTTGTTGTTGATGTAGAGCGGGAGGTCACCGTGGAGGCCTTGCTGGAAGATGGAACACGGGTTGTCGAAGTTGTCGAAGAAGTATGCGGCTTTGTAGTTGGTGGAGGACTGATTGTAGAGCCCTTCTTAGTGGTAGTCGTTGTGGTTGTACCTTTGGTGGTCGTGGTGGTTACTGAGGGCTTAGTTATCGTTGTCGTTGTCGTCTTTGTGGTTGTACGCGACGATGTCGTGGCTGGCTTGGGTTTTGCAGTTGTGGTGGTTGAGATTGTCGTTGATGAGGAGGGGGATGGGAGAATACACTTGCAACCTTCCATGACTTGAGTTACAGTCATACCGGATATGGGACTCTGCGCTGCAGTCCTACAAGCGAATTCATCATTAGATTTCATTTTTAGTAATCGCGTCATAGGTACTTACGTGTTTGCCAATGCTGAACACAGTGATGATGGAAGGGCATATTGCGATTGGACCAAAGCTTGATATTTGGCATTACAAGTCACTGATGACAGTGCCGGGACCTTTGTGAGAATCGCGCTATTTGCCTTTGGAATCGTCTTGTTGTCTTCTTGTAGTAGACATGTACAATGCGATACAAGCACAGCTGGTCCCTGAGCAGGAAGCGGTGAGTAAGAACGATCCCTTGCAGCAATGTTAGTCCGATACTGATTGATAGCCTCGCTACACACTCACCCTGCGAGAAAATAGTTGCAGAAATAATCGGCATTGGTCACGTGTAACCTGATAACGCGCACTGCTTCGTCATATTGAGCGCAGCCTAGTCTAGTAAGTTTTTGAGGTCTTATCGAGATCTATGTCGGCATACCTGCAGGTTCTGCTCTTGATTGGACTCCAGGGAAGGCATAAGTCTGAGAGAAGGTAAGGCTGACCAGCCCGAAGGGAACTGCGAAGGACTTCATGGTGAGAACAGCGTTGAAAGATTGAGCGACTATATTTTGGGGATGCAAAAAGCACACCGCAGGGGACAGATTGACCCTTGAGTTATATACCGCAAAGAAAAAATGCTAATTCACTAGCTGATTTCCGCCGAAACGGCCTGTACTCTTCGTTCGTAGAAACTGGTTCTTGCAACCGAGGGGAGTCTGGCCATGTACAACGGTGATAATGTTACGGGGAAAAATCTCGTGGTATGAGCCAGAAGAGAGAGTTTATGGTACATCAGTCGAAGTGGTGGTCTGGGAAACTGGTCGGTGATAAAGTAACGGGTCCCCGTTTGACCAGCTAAAACCGTGGTATTGCCGTTGATGTGAAAGACTAATCTAGGTTAAATGGATCTAAAACGTTTCTGATCGTCTTTCATAAAGCTCCTGCTTTGAGTGTTAGTAGATGAAGTGGTGGCATAAAATGTAAAATTAAGAAGTCCTGGAGTAGTCTGGTTCAAATATAATCGGAGTATGTTCGAGGCGCAAACCGAGCGATGGCCACGAATAGGTCATAATCATCACGCGAACTGAAAATTCGCCTGAATATGACACAAAGAGCTTGTAGTAAATAGCACACTAGATTCGGAAGTCGATTTAGAGGTAGCACTAGAACACCATCATTGAATATCATACACAAACCATAAATCAGTCGCGAGATAAGCTTGGATCGAAGAGGAGCCTGATGGAGTACAGAATCTAACTTTTGTCCTACATATGCGATTTCTTGCACCACGCCACCACATAATAAATTCGATCGTGGCGAAGTCAACCCATATTATTTACAACACGTTTTGCGTAAAGACTGCAACCATGAAATCTCTCAAGGGTGAGTACTAATTTGTCTCGATAATTTGGCATAGCTCATGATGATAGAACCTGCTGTCACCCCTCTGATACACATCATCCGCCACGGAGAGTCACTTCACAATGTCTGCCGTCGTTACCCGCATCGCGACCCTCCTTTGACAGATGCAGGGCAAGAAGCGACGAAGAAAATCACGATAACTGCTGTCCCGGATCTTGTCATTGTCTCACCCATGACTCGCACTATCCAGACCGCCATGAATGCTTTCCCAGCGATTACCAGCTCTCATACCGCCAGACCAGAAGTACAGGTCTGGCCTGATCTTCGTGAAGCACACAACGCGGTCTCCTGCAAAGGTGTCTCTAGGAGAGAGCTCTCTGCTAAATTTCCGCCGTTCGATTTCTCTGATTGTCCAGAAGAGTGGGACCATCCGCCTCACACCGCGAAAGGCGCCACAGCACGCGCAGAAATCGTACGGCAGCGTTTGAAAGAGCTCTCGGAAACATACAAGAATATTGCGCTCGTCACTCATCGAGGTTTTATTGCCTTCCTGGCTCCGGGTGATCGATTCGAAGTCTGCGAGACACGTTCATATCGATTTGGTACGGGTGAGGAGACAGAGATGCTAAGATTGGGAGTCAACGTTGACACGAATGAGATGCAAGATTTTGGCCCCACAATACTTGTGCCAGTTGAGACCGTAGGAGCACGCGGAGATCTGAAGGCTATCTTGAAGCAATGAGCTTTGGGAATAATGGAGGCAGGGTATGGTATGAAGTGTGCACTGTGCGATATCTTGATTTCCGAAGCGAAGGAGAAAGCAGGTCAGACACGCTGTTGATCAGGAGAATTGAAGTGATATCAGACTTTGTTGTTAATGGCAAGGGTTTGTTCAGACCATTACTAAGCCCATCGATATGTGCAGACGTTTTCGAACAAGCAGTGACCAGAAGATTGCAGTTTCCTTGACAAGTGATAGGGAGTGGTATGTGATGCGAAATTGTGGATCACCGTCCAATGAGGTATATTATCTGCATTAATCTTGTGCAATTCAACATAGCATCAGTGGTTTAGTGGTAAAATCCATCGTTGCCAGCTTCGCAAGAAATCAACTTCGATGGGCCCCGCGTTCGATTCGCGGCTGATGCAATTCTTTTGCATATTCCGATCCCCCCAGCTCTTTTTGCTCCCCAATCTCATTCTGTTGTTTTCATTCGAATTGGGCACTGGAGCTGAAAGATGGCGGTCGGATGTCCATTATTTTTTATGCATGTTCCGAGACAAGGTCAGTGTATCACAGGACTATATGGATGAATATGCATTGGCCCAAGGGTCCTTTCTATGACGAGTGGATTTCTGAATGAGTAACTTACGCCATTGGTAAGAGAACAATGGACAACGAAATGAAATGAAAATCCCAATGCTATGCTTCGGTCGTACAATGGTATCATAATCGAGAGTCTCCCAATATGCAGCTTGTTGGTAATACCCAACATTCATTAGATATTGAAGATTTTCAACCCGCTATGTGCTGTTTTGAGGTCCGGTAACAAATTCGTAGCCAAGTAAAATTGAGGTCTGTCACCTGTTTCCAGGTCCTGATTTGAAGAACCACCATCGACAATATTGGATGACCTGCTCTGTTGCTGTCGACTGCTCTTGAGCTTATTATGCCATTACCGAAGTAGGGGGCGACAACAGCTCAAACTTGTGCCAGTAAGTGCGGCGCCCATCTCTGTAATTGGGAAGAAACTCGCTGCAGCACTATGCCTTGTCGCATACGAAGCTGGTATACCCCATGTCCAGATCAATCGTATGAAGCTGACGATGCAGGTTGTAGCACCTAGCAGTAGCAGTGCAATAGTGCTGATCGTCCTTCGTCGTGTCATGTTCGTTTTCCATAGAGATTTGACTGATATAATTATGAGGACTAAGTCTGTGAATGTGTTGACTCCCGCGGTGACTGCTCCAATGTCGCTATAAGCCTCGGCCACGGAACACTTGGCCAGCGTAGCCACTGGACCGCACGTGGCCGCTGTGAAAATGAGAGCGAAGAGTCCCGTGACTGCAGTGAAGATTCCGACGATCCAAATGATTATTGTTCTACGGCCATCCAGGGAAAAGATACGATGAAGCAGGATACAAAGTGAAGTCTTTGCTAGAACCATGCATAAGTAGTATAAAGATGTTACTGCTCTGGTTGGCTTTTTCTTGTTAGCCTAGCCTCCGTTTCGGTGGCGAAAAAGGACTTACAAGGCTCAGTTGGGATGAGCTAGGCAGTATTCCGGTGAGTAGAATTTGATCAAACATGTGATTGAGATAGAACGTAAATCCACAAGTCACGCTAAGGGTTATCTTCGTCAAAGTCAGCATTGCGTCGAAAATTCAGATGAAGGGACATACTGTCGCTGCGATAATGCAACAGTCGTCCAGTTGTATGGACCTTAGAATCACTGTCTTCGTCCAAAGGCGCATCCCAAGGGTGATCAGACTCAGCCCCAACCACACACCATTAGCGATGAGCAAATGATGAATAGCGTCGACTTGTGCTTCAATCAAAGCACGCATCGGCGACATTCCGAGACAATCGTGGGTAGGGAGTAACAAATGCCAAAAGTGATCATTTCGTCTGAGCCATCTACTTAGACTTGATCGAATGGGAATTTGAAATCGCATAGAGACGGTAATGGCAGACATCGCAATCTTGGATAACGTGTATGGACCGTTTCTGTCTAAAGCGAAAAACCTATACGCCGTTAATCGTTGCCATAAAGAAAAGGTATGGTTGCGTAGTGCTTGGTATAGTGGGGTATATAACGGTGGTAAACTCAGGATAATAAATTATGACTCTGCAATATGGGTTGACTTTTTTTGACATTCCAGATTTTGACCGACGCAGCCGTTCTCGTTGCTGCTTTAGAAGTCTTAAACCTATCATAATCGACGAATATCGCAGAAGTAAAGCCTGGCACCAATGCGCAGTGCGCGAACCGGTTGGTTGCGTGGTCGTCAACCATTCACATGACCGGCCGTCGACGAACTGACTAACCCTAACTACTGTAGCGAGCGATATTCAACTTTAAAATCCGGTAAAACGACCAATCGGCGACACGGGAACTTGATGCATATGGGCTCAGATATTCCACTGTCGAGGTATCTATACTTCGCATCACGGCACCCAGCCGTGCTCGGTAGCTAAAAGAGACATGTACCGCCGTCGACAACCAGTTGACCTCGAGAGATATAATTTGATCGACCAACTAGAGGGATATAGAGGATACAACTGCATGCCTGATCATACGGCCAGCCGCAATGCTTGTAAGGTGAGACTATTCCGTTCTCAGCCTCGCTGAGGAGTACACCTGCCGCGACCGCTGGTACCGTCAACGATATTTATCGTCAAGACGTCTTGGAATAGACAGTCATGCTAGTGTCTTGTTATCGCCCGAACACCGCTGAGGCTCAGAACGCCATGCAAGTGCGATGCTAATCGGGTCCGATCCGATGTCGGCTCCAAAATTCGTATGAGCTCGCTAAGAGCATAACGACCACGACGGCGAATCAAACAACGTTCATCCGGCCTGTGTTCCCTCTGAGGTCTCGATTTGGCTCATGACAGTCTCAACAATTCGTCTAAACCCTTCCATTTCCTCCTCCACAGTTCCTCCTTGAGCCGATGATTCGAACGATACACTGCTGCCCACATGTACTGCTTTGCCGGTCTTACGAGCGAGTACCTTGGCCAATCTTGTTGCAAAATCCAGGGACGATGGCACATTGTATAGTGTGGTGCTCATTGGTTGCGAAGCATTATATCTCTGGTCTAGTCAGTCACTGACTATCTTGGAATGAGGACCCTTCACACGCCCAGATGGAGCGTGGACAAGAAAAGGGAACATTCAATGCGCGAACTCACGTCGGGCATAGCATATACAAAACTACCCATGGACGCCGCGCTGGCTGACGGGTCGCCACCTGCGCTCGTCACGAATAGTACCAGAGTGGTGGTCAAGATTGTGAGGTGGATGTGGATGCGCAATCCTGGAGCATTTGGCAAAGGAAAAGCGAGCTGTATAGGTTTCGCTGCCGGCGAAGAGCCATTCGTCGTTATTGCATCTGCAGCCATGTTGATTTGTGGTGGAAATGCGAGTAAATCGACGGGCAAAAATACATGGGACAAAGGGTAGGTGGGGTAAGGCCAGTGGAAGAGAATGCGGGGTATGTTTGCACTGTTTGTTGCAAGTACAGAAAGATAATTGTCCACTCTCAGTCTCAATTCTTGACCGCAATACCAGACAATAAATTATACGGCATATTGCAGGTGGTAAGTATGAGCGCGGAAGAGCACCAAAAAGGTCGAGAGATAGATCCATTGGAAGATCCAGAGGAGAGAAAGGTCCTGTATGCCGCATTGGACTCATTCCGGTATGTACCACAAGCCTTTCACTCTCTATCCAACCCTGCACGATGAGCAAAAAGAAGGATGGCAAGCATTAAGCATATACGCCAAGTATCGACCCCCCGCTACCTAGCCCTTGACTCGTTGGACTCTTTCTGGAGCACTCTACTGTACGACTCGCACGCAAGTCGGATCGCCGACCCAGAGGCAAACCGTTCCATCGTGCACGCCGGCGGTAAGCTCGCAATCGCGGCCATATCGTACTCTAGTACGAGTCTGCCCAAGCAACCATCTACTTGAGGGGTGATTCGGCGGCTTACTATGTGAGCAACATAAACCTCCAGAAGAGCTAACGAAAGCCTCGCGTGATCTGTCGAGTTACTACATGGACAACGTGCTCCATTGTTGCACTTCAGTAATGCCGATAGAGTTTTTTGACAATCCGGTTCTTCACCTCGTGGGCTAATAGGACGATTCAACACAAGACCCGACTGGCAACTGACACGGTCTCAGCCAATATCGTCGTGCCGCCCATTATAACATAACCCACCTTCGTCGTCAAAGTTTCTATTCCATTCCTGCAATACATTCAAGTCTTCTCTCAGAAAGGCCATTCAGCCTTCCCAAAACATTTCAAGCTGTGGACGATGCTATCGACAAGAATGCCGATATTGCAGAAGCTGTTCTCACTGTTGGACTGGGAAATTACGGGGTTGACCCCGACTCCGAAGACTGGAAAGGTGTAGCTACGCCAAGCGATATGGACAAAGTGAAAAGTACGATACGTCAACTATATCGAGACTTCTCCACAGAAGGAGCCGAGGAGCGTCGAGCAAGCTTTGAACCAATGATAGAAGCATTAAATGCCGCTACCTCAACATTTCCACCATCTCAGCGACATAAGGTTGATGTGCTGATCCCTGGGGCCGGATTGGGAAGGTTGGTCTTAGAGGTCTGCGCAGCTGGCTATCGTGTCGAGGGCAATGAGATCTCATACCATCAGCTTCTGGTTAGTAATTGGATCCTGAACTATCAACCAAATCCCGCGGCGCATGAATGCTATCCTTGGGCTTTAAGCTTCTCCAATCACATCTCTCGGTCGAATCAATTGCAAAAGCTCATGATACCAGATGTCGCTGCTGGAGCATTCTTAAGCCATGCCAGTGAAGCTCTAGGATCGGAAGTTCATGCCTATGAGCGCATGTCGATGACATCCGGCGACTTTTGCGTTGTATACAAGGAGGCCGAGTACCGTCAAGCTTTTGATGCAGTCCTGACTTGTTTCTTTATCGACACAGCACCAAACGTAATCTCATACATTGAGACTGTGAAACACTGTCTCCGAGCTGGTGGTGTCTGGATTAATATGGGGCCGCTTTTATGGCATTTTGAAGGGCGTGCTAAATCTGATAAAGAGAGGACCGAGAGACCTGCGGACAAGGATGAAGGTATTGGCGAGCCTGGATCTTTTGAGCTCACAGATGAAGAGATGGTCTTGTTGTTGCAGAGCTATGGTTTCCAGATCAAAGCCCACGACAACAAGAGCCACGAAACGGGATACATCCAAGATCCGAACAGCATGCTCAAGAGTGTATATAGGCCCAGTTTCTGGGTAGCAGCGAAGACATGATCCAGGGAAGCATCATCGAGTCGTATTCTACCCGGATGGTCCTGTTTTGCGGCCGAATCGGACCTTGCTCGGGACAAATTTTAAAGACTGCAGAGAATTGGAGATCATATCCACATCATC